AGGGAAGAATTTAAATAAAGTATGTAAAAGCTGCGATTGACTGAGGACTTAAAATATTCCCAAAGCTAAATTGATAGCGTCTCTGATCCCTAGAAAAGGAATGGATACCTCTGCCTGCGATGAGATTGGGGCCAAGTGGACCTCTTGAGTTGGATTTTGCACAGATCGGGTTTCACGCTTGCAGAGGGCCAATTTCTCTTTGCCGTTTTTATTTCATTTCATTTATAATGTTGCTGTTGGATGCAGAAACTTGGGTCTATACAAGCCAAAGCTATGCTAGACTATATCCCCCTATTTGTTTCTATGTTCATTTGTTAAACTTGTATATTATTTTCTGTTATTATTGCCATCAAATACAATTTATAATTTTCTCATTTGATTCATTTGATATAAAACCCTCCTTTCTAGCAGGAATCAATCTTTACCTTTACCCTTTTTTTCTGCTGACATAGGGTATTAAAATAGCTAATAAAATTAAAACTCAGAGTACAGATGTTACAAAGATAAGTATTCTGCTGTTAATTAACAATTAAAAGCATGATGAAAAATAAACTATTCTAGTATAGGCATCATAGGAATTTCCTGAAAGAAAAAGACGCCAAGCTGTGGTACATATCTTGCTGTGGGTTCCCTCCAGCTTCAGGAGATGAACACCCAAATATTAGTATCTTGAAACAAAAGGGAGAGAACTTGACAGCAAACTATGTACATGCACCATATGATTGTGACACCTTTACCAGTCAGCAGCCCAGCTATCATTGCATTGAGTATCAACTAGCATTGGCTGCAACTAAGATGATCCAAGGCCTGGAGACTAAAACATATGAAGAATGGCTGCGGGACTTGGGTTTGGCTAGTCTAAAGAAAAGAAGTAATAGAGGCGACATGATAGCAGTATTCCAGTATCTGAGGGGCTGCCATAAGGAAGAGGGGGTCACGTTGTTCACCAGAGCACCAGAGGAAAGGACAATAAACAATGGTTGGAAAGAGAGAAGCAACCTAGAATTAAGGAGAAACTTCCTGACAGTGAGGACAATCAACCAGTGGAACAGCTTGCCTCCAGAAACCGTGGGCTCTCCATCACTGGAGATTTTTAAGAAGGGACTAGACAATCACCTGTCTGAGATGGTATAGGTCACGGGTCTTCAAACTTGGCCCTTTTATGACTTGTGGACTTCAACTCCCAGAATTCCTCAGCCAGGCACGTTGGCTGAGGAATTCTGGGAGGTGAAATCCACAAGTCATAAAAGGGCCAAGTTTGAAGACCCCTGGTATAGGTTCTCCTGCTTGAGCAGGGGGCTGGACTAGAAGACCTCCAAGGTCCCTTCCAGCTCTATTCTATTCTATTCTATTCTATATAAAGTGCATTGCAACATTCACATCAGGACGTAATCAAGACACGGATAACTGTCACCAAATCCAACCAGTTCAAGAAGAGTTGTTGCAACCTACCAACATATTTTTTTACCATAACTGCCACTTACTAATCTTGGAATATCCCACCTTGAGGAATAATTTCAGTTTGTGGATCTAGTCTTTTAAAGAAAATGTAACACCATATAAAATGGTCTCAAACCTCGGATTCAGTTTTGTAATGCCATCTTTGCCTTGCCTACACTGAATTTCAGCTTTTCCCCCTCCTTCAATCTATCATTAAGCTTATATAACATTCAAAGATTTCTAGCAGCTTCCCTGAAGCTGAATGATCAGGAACAACAGAGTTTGGTGCTGTCAGCTTAATAATGACACCCTACTCTAAAACTCAGAATGATTTCCCCCATCAATTTCATTAGGAGATTGAACAGCACATAGGTCAACATGAAAAACCGATGGATATCACAGATCAATGGTCTAGATCAGAGGTAGGCAACCTTGGCTCTTTTATGACTTGTGGACTTCAACTCCCAGAATTCCTGAGTCAGCATGGCTGGTTCAAGGTATTGAAGTCCACAAGTCATAAAAGAGCCAAGATTACCTACCCCTGGTCTAGATAGAAGATGTCAAACAGTAGTTTCCTAGCACCAGGTTTTGGACAAAGCCTGACAGAAGGACTACAACAATTGTCAAGCAGTGCCCCCTAAGGTCCAACCTTGGCAAAGAATTCAG